GTTTGAGAGAGGCGGGGCATAGAGGACCTACAATAATGTACAGTATTTGAAAAATAATGTGTTTTTTGAACATTAAAGCATGTCAACATATTCTGTTACACCAAATACACCAAATAATGATCTTTAAAAAAGCATCATATGACCCCTTTAAGTGCTAGGCTTCTGTCAGAACAGATTGCTTAGAACTTTATTGTTGATGATCAGAGACAAAATAAAGCACATTTGTCTTTCTAAATATCAAATGCCATATTCAGCCTTATTGAATGTCTTTATGTAAATATATTGTACTGTGGTTGAATCTGCACGTGTTCAAGTTTTAAGATCTACTGTATGTCATTCTTCGATTAGACAAAAGCAAAGGCATTTTCCCCAAAAAAAGATTATAATATCAAACTTCATTTCTGGATAACACAGCGTAGTGGAGTCATGTGACAACAATTCACCATACTGCTGTTTGAAACACAGTTAACGGGAACTAACAATGAAAAAAAGCATTTATTAATCTTAATTCATGTTCATTTTAACAGTTTCTAATTAAAAGCAAAAGTTTTATCTATTAATATAATTGAATGGATCTGAACTAAGATGAACTAACAATCAATAGTTTATTACCTAACAATAACGAAGATTAACTATTGCGCGTTGTTAGTTAATGTTTGTTAATGCATTAACTAATGTTATCTAACGGGACCTAATTGTAAAGTGTCACTGAAATGTTTCGGTCATGTGTGGTTCGTGTAACAATCCAATAAAGACGAAGAAGAGTTTAATAATATTTAATAAGCCAACGATCAGGGTGCTATCCATGGTATCCACATTAAACATAGACGAGACCGGACAAACACTGGGAGCAAACACAGGGTTTAAATAAGACGGAGGACTAACAAGATAATTAACAATGACAGGTGAGAGAGATAACTAATCAGACACATGAGGGAAAACTAGGTCAAACAGGGAAGACTAAAGGTCCTTGCACACTGAGTCCGAAACTTTCGTATGCGTTTTTTCATTTTGTTCGCATTCGTCATCCCTTCCTAACATAATGCTTGCTACGGATGCGAAAATGCAGCCTATCAAAATGCTTGCTACAGATGCGAAAACGCAGAAAATCAAACCAGGTCCGAATTTTTTTACGACGGACGAAGGTTTCGGAGGCAGTGTGTAAACGTGATCGACACAACGTGAGGTCATATTTATTTTCCAACGTGCGAACATTTCGGACGAAAAATTCGGACTCAGTGTGCAGAGACCTTCAGACTAAGACAAGACTGCAGTGTGCTAGTGTTGCATTCTGAATACAGCAGCTGTCCTCAATGTGAATACTGGCAAATGTAGTAGATCATTTAGGCATGCATACAAAACATGCACACACTGTCTGCAATATACATGCATACTTCTGAAATATTAAGAGTAGTAGTGTGCTATCCTAACATAGCCATCTTTAGTTTTTTTCCGCTTCTTAAACAATCAATATGGCACTTTCTCTTGGACGTTATGCAGAAACAAAAGTGTTTATTTATAGATGCCACTGTGGCAATACTCCTCTTTCAGGTGTGTGTCACCAATGATTCATTTATAAATTTCACAGCCGAAAATGTCTGAGAAAGCTGTAATTTAATGCAAGTGCTTTGTTATAAATTGCAGGTGATCCCGTTGGCTTGCCGACACGCTTGACCCTGGAGTTCAGCGCATTTGATGTGTAAGTTTTCTGCAATAAAACCATGTAATGTAGTTGGGTATTCTGAAAGCCTTGGATAATGGCCCCAATATCACGTCTGTTACTTGTGAAATTAATGATTTTTTCTTGCCAGTTAAATCCTCAAGGATTGTTTCAGTAGAATTAATTTTACGTTTATGACGGGTGAGTAATTGCGCTGACTACACGGCACAGCTATTTGCAGCCCTGTAGTCTGGTGGAGACAGGAGAAGTGATGAGGGGGTTACGTCTGAGCCCCTGCAACCATCTGCATCCACGCTGCTTTTCTCCAAGAAAGAAAAAAAAAGCATGGCGACATTATAAAACAGATAGATCCCTTCAATTCGTAAACATAGGGCACTTTCCAATCATTCGATTCAAATGGCTCTGCAAAAGGCATAGGGAACAAGTGTACACAAGTGCATTACATACAGATAATGTGTCAAGCTGATATTCTATTAATTCTGTTCTAGAATTCTATTATACATTTTTCTAATATTACTATATAGGTTAATTGAATTTAAAATAAGGTTCCATTTCTTAACAGTAGCTCACAACATTTCTTAATATGAACAATGAACAATACTCATTTATAAATTTTAGTTCATGTTCATTTTAACATTTATTAATACATATTTTAAATGAAAAGTTGTATCTGCCAACATTAGTCAATGCATATGGTGTAACCATCCAAAAACGTATGATATTTGATATTTATCAATTCATGGTTTTGTAAAAAAAAAAAAAACAGTAAACAATTTGCTAGTTATGCCACATGACATTGTGAGAGCTGAATGAAATGAACATGAGTACATGCAAAGAGTACATTTCTAAGAACTTGGCTATGTTTTTGAAGGATTTCCCTTTTCTTTATGTTATGTTTATTGACTGGTTTCTTTTGTCATGTTGCACACTGTATAAAAACAGTAAGCCACTCACAGCTGTACATTACAGTGATTTTACCATAATCCATAGTATGTTATGCTATTATGGTTAGCCAATCAATTCAATTCGAGTTTATTTGTATAGCGCGATGCAAATCGTTGCAAAGCAGCTTTACAGAAAATTAAAGTTCCTACATTATATTTAGTAATAGCTTATCAGTGGTGACTATCTCAAGCTGATGTCCATTTGGCAGAAATGTACGGTAAAAATCAAGCAGTTAGTTAATGCCAACAACTAGTTAGTCAACATTTCCTGGTTGAAGAGCTAGCGTGTTAATGTCGGTACATGGTGCAAATAGTATACAATACAGGTTACACTGTGATGCTAAAAGAACAAAACCATGCATATAGTGAATATACCCAAATACAAGTAATATAGTGTATGAATTTTATGTTTCAGTGATGGAGCCACACCTGCTCGCTGCTGTCCAGCCTCTGGAACTCTGTACAACACCAACACATTAGAAGCCTTCAAAACCATCGACAAGAAAGCTCTCCTGGATAAAGCAGCCAGTGAGGTGCAGTGCTTTGATTCACTCATAATTAATTGTGCCTGTTGATAGCGTATTTGATTTGCACTCGCTGCCTGCATAGATCCAGTGAATGAATTATGCCAGTGGTTCTCAGTTCCAGTCCTCGCGTACCAGCGCTCTGCATGTCTCTCTTGTTTAACACACCTGATTCAGATCAGCAGCTCATTAGAAGAGAGCTCTATATATGAACTGTGTTCTGATTGACAGGGTCCCTACACAGTGTTCACTGCTCCCTACTCCTGAGCACAGGGAAATCAGCTGAAGTTTACGGAGCATTCATTCACGGATTTGCGCTACGCCACGGCCTGCAGCGTCTTCACACACAGATGAAAGTGTGAAGTGTGATATAATATACCTCTGTAAATAAATACAGTTTAAATTCAAGTCTCGCACACTTTTATGCCCTTTGAATGGAACAAATACGCTCCCTTCGAACTGGAATCATGGTGTAATATCCTGTGATGTCCACTTCACAGGGCACTTACTGTCGAATAGAACACACGTCTGAAGTGATTAGAGATACATACAAAATGTGCAGAGCGGTGGTACATGAGGACTGGAATTGAGAACCAGTGAATTATGTGATTTTTTTCACAGTGTATTGAGATGCTGAACATCCTTCTCCATCATTTGATAAATTACTGCTGCTGTTCGTAATATTCTTAATACAGTTTCATTTACTGCCTGCTTTCTGCAAATGGTAATAACACAATGATAATTGCCGTGGCCAAATAGTACAGACTTTTGCAAATAAGGCAGTTTTTTTAATAAACCCAATGTGTTTGTGCTAAAAGAATGTGCTCACCCTCCGGCCATCACATATGTAGATGAGTTTGTTTCTTCATCAGGTTTGTAGAAATGTAGCATTGCATCAGTGTCTCAGCAATGGATGCTCTGCAGTGAATGGGTGCCGTCAGAATGAGAGTCCAAACAGCTGATAAAAACATCACAATAATCCACAAGTAATCCACAGCACTCCAGTCCATCAGTTAACATCCAAAGCCAAAACAGCTCTAAACAAACGTGTGTGGATTTTGATGCGAGAGACAACAGGAGATGGACTTTTTCATTGGAGGAAGCGTTATTATGGATTATGGACTCAATGTATTTTTGTTAAAAGCATCTTAATGCTGGATTTGTTTCAGCTTTTGTCTTCTCCAGATGTTAACTGATGGACTGGAGCGCTGTGGATTACTTGTGGATTATTGTGATGTTTTTATCAGCTCTCATTCTGACGGCACCCATTCACTGCAGAGCATCCATTGCTGAGACACTGATGCAGTGCTACATTTCTCCAAACCTGATGAAGAAACAAACTCATCCTAATCTCGGATGGAATGAGGATGAGCACATTAGGGCTGTCAAAAAAAAATTAGAATTTCGAATATTCATAGAATTTAAAATAAAAATCCACATTTGAATGCAAAAACGTTGCATTCGAATTTTAGGTGTGCGTCAGGCAGTATTATCAGGGGTGCACGAAATGCGACGACGATGTAAGTCATTGCATTTTAATGTTTTTGTCTGTCCAGTTGAAGCCACTAGATGCGGCGCTGCTACATTGTTCATTCAAAATATTGCAGAAAAAGAGAACAATCAATGCGGGGAAGATGTTGTTTACGTCAAAACCGAAACCAAGCTGTTCACACAGAACGCATATTTATCGCATTTTTGAGAGAGACATCTATCAGCGTTGCACCCGCGTCTCGCAGAGATGGCATGTTTAGAAAGCTATGTAAAATTAATGTAAGTTACATTTTTAAGAAACATGTCTCAAGACTTTATGGCAGTTTTCCCCATCCCACTGCAAGTTTTTAAATGAAGAAAGTACTCTTTGTGATTGTTTTTTTTCTCGGTCCTTTGTATTAAACTATACATACATGCATGATGCTGTTTTGTTTCTAATTGTTTAAGCAACTTTATTAATTATATAAGGTTTATAAACATTATTTTAAACATTATGCTCTTTTTTCAAAGATAGTTGTTATTTTATTATGCTTTGAAGAAACGTGCATAATATTTTGTTCGATGCGCTCTCTTGTGGCCTCAGGAGAGAAGCCAAAAGCTTTTTCCCCCTAACTGAAATTATGCCTTTTAAATTCAAATATAATTAGAATATTGATAATATTTAAGTAAAAAATTCGAATTTAGTTTTTCAGCCATTTTGACAGCCTTAGAGCACATATTTAGTTTTTCGGTGAACTATTCCTTTAAGTAAGTGCATCAGCTGGGTATTTGAAGTGGGACGCACCTAATGACTTAGTTTAAATGCTAGGTTTTTGCGCTGAAATACTGTGCACAAAAGTGCCGTTTGGTGTTTTGTTTAGTGATTTTGTCCCAGAATGTGTTTCACAGTGTGAATGCATATTGCATTTGCATATACTAAATTAGAAATAATTTCTGGACATGTCAGTTTAATTATTACTGGTAGTGTTGTCTTCTTCACAGATTTGGAGCGTTATTCAGTCAGGGGCTGCGCTGGAAGACTCCTCAATACTAAACAAATTCATCCTCTTGACATTTGCGGTTTGTATGCCAACATTTTAGAAAATGTCTTTTTAGATTAATGTCCTTTCAGCCATTTGTTTCTGACTGGTCCTTTTGTTTATCCAGGATCTGAAGAAATATCATTTCTATTATTGGTTCTGCTTTCCTGCCCTTTGCTTTCTGGAGGGGGTCCAGCTGGAGCAGGAGCCGGTGTCATTAGAGTGCAGCTTCTCTGCCAAACAGGTGCGGAGAAGAGCCTGCGTCGATAACTCACTTCTGACGAGGATGCTTTGTGTGAAGGATAATGAGCCATTAGTCAGTGCATTATGGAAAGCATGTGCTGATTAGAATTTTTATGCATTTGAATGCATAATGTCATATAGGCCCTAAGATGACTGATGTGCCATATACAGTAGCACCAAGGAGTATTTGGAAACCTATTCTGTTAAAATACTTTCCTCTCTGTATTTTAGCTCCAAGTAAGTCATTAGAAAGTGAAGATGTTTTATTTTATTACCCTCTTCAGTTCAATTCAAAATTAATTTACAGTATATACATTTCCTTGAATTTATTCCATTGTAATGCCATTCACTAAATTCAAATTGCATCCTGTTCGCCACCTCGATTCAAGTGATTTTTCATTCAAAATGGTACACTGTCCTTCTTTACACCAGCTGTACATTTAGAGTGCATTTCAGTTCTTGCCTAACTATTTTCCAACCAAGCATAAACTTTCACTTCATCGTGTTGCATGAGTTAATGAGGTGGGCTGATTGCTTTGCATTGATCTGTTTCACAGATATCAAGCCTGCAAACGGCGTATGATAATCTCTGCGCCTCCAGCGGTACGACGGCAGTCCCACATTTTCTGCTCAAGTACACAGATGAAAGTGTTGAAGTCGCTCCTCTAAAAGACTTGAACTCCTTCTTCCCAGACCTAAAGAAGGTAATTTCCAGTATAAAGCTGGATTATTACTAATGGAATATTGCAAATTCTGTCAACAACATTTGAGGCTTGCTCTAGATTTGTGTTCTGTTGGTGTAATATGGCATGTGTCCTGGTTTGTTTTGAAGATTACTGTGGGTGTGTATGACCCATGCACACTGCCTCAACATCCTGGCTGGCCTCTCAGAAACTTTCTCGTCCTCCTCGCAAAAAAATGGTACGTCTGTAATGAGCTTTTCCAACACGCATCCCACTGGTGCTCAATTATAGCCCTGTTTCCACAGCTCCGCTCTTTTCCTCCTGACATCACTTTCAATCTCGAAAGTGTTTGTTCTGCTACTAAAAAATGTGAGAAAATACTATTTCCAACCATCTGCTAATATGTTGGGTTTTGTGGGAATCTATTGCACTGCTTGGCCAATCAAGGGTGTTGTTCTTTTGACCTTTTTTTCTGAAGTTTGATCATGCACATTCAAATCATATACAGTACTATGATGTTGCTTAGTATTTTTTCTCGGCTACATGGCAAATGAATATGGCAGCACCTTAGAACAATGCTATGTCCAGTGTACTTTAATAGATCACATAGTACTGAATGATTACTATGTTCATATACCGAGTCCAAAACACATGGTATCCCTAGTAAAAAAAAATACCTATGCCATATACTTTTTTTTAAATATGCATTTATTTCATACTAAGTATACTTCAAATCCAATAACATATCACTTAAGGCTTACTGATATAAAATTATAATTAAACTGTATTTGGAGTATTTCTTTAATGCACATTTCTTAATATTATGTCTAAAACGTGTTTTAATATCACTATTAATAAGGATTGTATGATCTCTGTATAATATCCGTCTTTAAATGCATGATATTTAAAGTGTTGCTGAAGTGTACTTGCAATAGGTCCACTTTAGCACACTCAAATATACTTCAGCATACCTTTAGTTGGACTCCAGCACTACTTCCGCACAATTATAGTGCATTAAGCACAAAATTAGTTGTTCCAATTTAGCAGACTTTAAGTATACCAGTTTAGTGTACCACAATTGCAGGGTTTTTTTATTAAGCACATAAATATGTAGATGTATTTTTAGTATTTTAGCACAAAATACATGCATTTCAAATACAATTTAGTATATATATATATATATATATATATATATACAAATTTCTTTTTCACTAGGGATTACTATGGCTCCAAAAACCAGTGGATTGATGTACACTTAGTAACTTGAAGCATTTTGATAGTTTGCTCATTTCATTTACACTTGGTCCCACAAATATCTCCAGAAAATAGATGTAAATCCTGAGAGAATATAGCGCTCATCAGTTTAAATGAAGATAACTGCGTCTCGACCTTCACAATTTCATATGCACCAGAATATGCACCCGCCCCAAAAACATAGTATTATCATTGTACCATATCTAAAAAAAACATGGCATTACCATGATGCATATCCAAAATTAACATGAAAAATGATGCACTGTTCGTGAAATGCAGTGCAGGTGGAAGATTTTGGAAATAATGCTGTATTTTGCAGCTTTCGGAGTTAAATGTCATCTGTGCTGACTCCACTAGGCATCGTTTCTTTGTAATGGTAAGCTTAAGGTCACTCCAAAGGCCGCGTGTGCTCATGGTGGTGTGTGTTTGTGCGTGTGAATGCCAGGGGTTCACAGCTGGATGTGCTGGAGGTTCTGTGCTTCAGAGACAGGACTCTACAAGGGAGCCGCTCAATTCGGCACAGCATCATCTTTCGGGTCAAGCTTCCAGACCTCACGGCTTCTGCAGGTAATTTATCTTCTTTGCCCGAGTGCTTCAGAACAGCAGCATAAAGGCTGGGCTTTTATCTGGCTTCAGGAGAGGCCAGACACCATTTAAATGTTAATACAGAGTCCTCAGACTGTCTGCCACAGGTTTCAGTATTTTGTAGCCGGTTGTTGGGTCATATGAAGAGCTTTGCACTCTGTTTCTTCCTGCCTACTTTAGGAAGATGCTAATTATCCAGATTCAGATTGTTTGATTTTGTTTGCATTATCATTGCCCTCCTCAAGATCACGCAGAATTTAACCTGTAGCTAAGTGATTCTGTAGACCTTGATTAGCTTGGGTTAAGGAGTGTTTGATTAGGTTTGGAGCTGAACTCTGCAGGAAAGTGGATCTCAAGGGCCAGAGTTACCCACCTCTGCCTTAAAGGGACATGGTGCCTCAGTTCATTCATAGTTAATCCTGCCTTTAAATAACATTATGAGTGGATAAAGAAATTAAATGAGACTAAAGTTTATGATATGACTCTGTTCACTTTCAGTTATTGATGTCTAGTAAAGTTTATTCTTCCTGAGCTGGGACATGCTTGTCTGCTCAGATCCTTCAGTCACTGTGAACTGATGGTGGAGATTCCCTGACATTCACCCTCATCACACATCACAGCCCATCAGACTCGTGAATTCCTGTGGGAGTCGCTGCACTGATGGCGTTAAGCACTGTGTGAACTGGGCAGAAACAGCCGGGAATGAAAGGACAGCGCTGTAGGAACCTCCTGACAAGGGCTATTGAAAGCCCTTCCTGATCAAAATCCGGTCGTTTCATTTTCACCTAGTATGCCTTCATCGCTCTCTCAAACAGTCCATCCTCCTGTCCTTACACCGCTGTCTTTGACTGCTGCGGTCCTTCTTTTTCAGATGCACAAACACGGATGTCTTCACACTTCAGTGAGGTTTGCCCTTCTGAACTGTGACATTCACTTGCATTGAAATCTCACAGTGTGTGATTGAATGTTGGGCGATCCACCATCGTTTCACCAAGATTAACCTACATAGCCACATATACGAGCGATGAGGCATCTTTGGGCACCATTCACTCACAGTGTTTTCTTGTATTCGAAACCAGATAGTGAATACGGTTTGATTAGCTAATAATTTTTAAGAGGAAAAAAAAAATACTCGACTAGTTGACGAACACATGACTTCAAGGAGTAGTTCACCCAAAAATGAAAATTAGCTGAAAATGTGCTCACCCTCAGTCCATCCCAGATCAGGATGAGTTTGTTTCTTCATCAGATTTGGAGAAATGTAGCATTGCATCAGTGTCTCAGCAATGGATGCTCTGCAGTGAATGGGTGCCGTCAGAATGAGAGTCCAAACAGCTGATAAAAACATCACAATAATCCACAAGTAATCCATACCACTCCAATCCAGCAATGAATTATTAGCATTGTTTTTTTTATTTTTGGGTGAACTATTCTTGGAAGTCATGTGATCGTCAACTAGTTGACTGGTGGTAACAAACTGGAATGGACCGCAGGGATTTTGAAACCTGTTTTAGAAGTTGAACTGTTGCTTAAACAATGACTGTTTTCAAAAGCTATTGTCACTTGAGACGCATAAAAACAAGCAAAATATGATACAGTGGCCAAAGACGTATTGTATGTCTGATGCATTCGTACAGTTAGGTTGAACTTCAAATATTTCTTTACAATTATTTTACCTGTACGACACCAAGCAAAGTGCCTTTTATATTAATATTGAAGTCAGTGTAGCTGTAGGCATGTGTTGCATTATATTTATGTTTACTAACTTGTTTATGCAGTATGTCCAAAGAGTGTGGGTTGGGAGAAGAACGCTAAAGGTGCGATGGGACCTCGAAGTGTCAATCTCAGTGAATGCATGGACCCTAAAAGGTACGAAACACCTGGCGTCAGTCTATACACTTTTAAAGTGGTTTTCTCAGTGGTATGTGACACGTTTCGTTCATTTCCTCAAGGCTTGCCGAGTCTTCTGTCGATCTCAACCTGAAGCTGATGCGTTGGAGGCTGGTCTGTGTGTAATTATTGGCACAGTTAAGCAACCCATCCCTCCCTCACACCTAGCAGACTGATCTGTGTGTTTATTGGACTAATGATGCCTGAATAAACATCTGAGAGGCTGTATGAACCTATACTGTGCGGGCCGTTAGTTTGAGACCCTTGGATTAACCAGTAGGACTCAATTTCAACATGCAATTATCCACAACAATGAAGTCTGAATTATTCATTTTAATATTGATGAATGTTATTTGGCTGGTCTGCAGATGGACTGAGAAGCTAAACAATGTGTTTGACCAGTCCAGGTCACTGGTGTTCATTATCTGAGGAGTCTCATAGCATTGTTCATTATAACCCATGTTCATATGAAATGCAGCCTCATTTATATTCACTGCTCAACGGTCCTCTCATGCATCACTGAGCAGAGCGTGAGGACCGGCTCTTATGGCTTCATGCAAAAGCACATTTCCTTTTCTGTTTTCACTGCAGTTGATCAGTGAACTCCCAGACTCAAGTCTGAAAATGTAAGTTTACATTGTAAAAAAGAAAATAATTCTTAATTGACTTGCCTGGATAAATAGAGGTAAAAACAACAAATTACCAAACAAGGAACTTCATCTGCAGTGGAGCTGCACTGGTTTGTCTGAACAGCTAGTTGGTCGATGTGAAACTGAGGTATAATCGTTGCTTTCAAGGGGATGCATGTTGAGATGTAATCTTGTACATGAAATTCACACATGCTGTGCTTGTTTTTTTTGGAATATCTTCAGTAGGGTTGGAAATTAGAAGGATTTTTTTTTGACAAAGCACCAACCCCCCACCCAATAATTGGTCTTATATGTCAAACCTTTGGTGATTTTAGCATTCTGAACAATTCAGTGAATGAGTGCGTCATTAAAACGAATCAAACAGATCATGGGATTGAGACTAGTTAGTGAGTCTTTTGGAGGTTTTAATTTCACGTAATTTAGACTACACTTGTTGTGCTGTTTTTTGAAGTAACATAGTTTCTCCTCCGATGCATTGTATTATGGTGTGTATTAGTGGTAGTCTGTATGGTTTTAAGTAGGGGTGTAAATCAGACGGTTCATCATGATATGATCTGATATCGATTCTCATAGCCAAGTTCGATACGATATTTGCTGATACCTCAAAAAATGTTGTGATTGCCTATTTTACACAACCAGCTACATTTTTATGAACTCACAAATGCAGCCAATATATGTTACATCAACATTTATTTGAATTTCCACTAGGGCTGTGCGATTTGGGGAAAATATCAAATTGCGATTTTTTTGGTCCTGATCACCCTGTCAGGGTTTATTCTGAGATAACAACTGGCTGGATGTACATTATCCCCTACATATATATATATAAACACCACAGATAAGTGTTTTGAAAATGCACAGTGTTACCTCTGTATACCAGACCACAGCTGCATAGTTAACATGTTGTCTTAAATATTTAAGGTAAAAAAGATGCTGTACAAAAATATATGTAGATAAACCAACTGGTCATCATCACTAATCACCAGTTGACTAGTTCTGTCTCTAATTCTTACTTTTTTAAACTAGCCGTCTCATCCATTTCTTCATTTGGAGAAGCCTTTCCTCAGATAGGGTCCCATTGCTAAGCATCAAAATCAGTTTCTGGGCATGTTGTGCGAGTGTTTTCTGCTAAGCGGTAACATCAGACTCATGTGACTCAGACTTCTGCTGGCCTTCATATTCATGACTCTGTGTGGGAACGCTGTTGGCAGGTGTTCCCATCCACGAGGCCTGCGAATCCTCTCTGCTCTCATATCCCCTTCACTTCCTGTGATTCATCGTGCTGCCAGCTTCAACAAATGTCATTCCAGAAGGCAGTTTGGCCATTAGCAACCAAGAAAAAAGTGGTTTGCTGATGCATTATTGTGACTGATTTTGAGCTCACTACAAAGAGTTTTCAATACATTGAGTTTCCACTGATTTGATTTAGAAAGGTCTGTAAATCGTCTAAATTAGTAGCTCTCAACTGGCTTTGCTTTAGGACCCATATTTCACACTGGACAGCAAATGGAAACAACAATGTACAAAGATAGTTATTATAAAAGTAACAACATTTTCCTTATAACCAAAATTAATTAAACCTACCATGCACTGCATATGCATAATTACTAATGTGACATAGGCTGAACAGTCACACTTTGGTAAAAGTATAAACAACAGCAATGAATGAGAATGACTGTTAGAAAACAACTCATCCACTCAGACATCGTCGCTTTTGATCATGTCCAGAACACAGAGGGCCCTGGGGCTGTAGCAAACCCAAGGGCCCCCTTCATAGTAGCCTATCTTGTGTCACAATGTTTTGTTTTTTGTTTTTTGTTTTTCTTTTTTCTTTTATTCCCCTTAAATCTCCAGCACACAGAGATACAAGGAGTATGCATACTAAATATTCCAGGGCAGACTATAACATAATAAAAGCATGAATTCATTAACACCAAATATATGAGGTCAAAGCAAACAGGTTTGCTTGGGCTAAGATTCAGCCCATCCGGCCCACATGTTTCCCCATAAATGTTTTGCTGGGGTTAGGGCCTTTAAATTGGAATATTTTTGATTTTTGGTTGATCAAATTTTTCTTGATTTATGCACCTGAGAACGTACGGGTTATCTTTTTGGAGCGCATAAAATATATATTTTTTGCTTCAAATTGACCTGTAAACATCACAATCATAATAGAAATTCATCATTTTATAGTGTAAAAGAGTGCACACAATCCACAACACATCAGAGTGTCGACACTTTGCAGGCATTTCCTGAATGACAGTTTTGCTGGGGTTAGGGCCTTTAAATTGGAATATTTTTGATTTTTGGTTGATCAAATTTTTCTTGATTTACGCACCTGAGAACGTATGGGTTATCTTTTTGGAGCGCATAAAATATATATTTTTTGCTTCAAATTGACCTGCAAACATCACAATCATAATAGAAATTCATCATTTTATAGTGTAAAAGAGTGCACACAATCCACAACACATCAGAGTGTCGACACTTTGCAGGCATTTCCTGAATGACAAAACATCAGAATTGAACCAGTATTTCCCACAACTCAACAATAGAAATAGGTCAAACTGACCTGCAACATAATATAAGTGTAATTATGAATTCAAATATTTTATGTCTTTTTAGTCTATATAATATAGGTTACTGGTATATATTAAATAATTTTTCAGCACCTATTAAACTTACAGTTCATATTTATCAATTAATCCAATTACCACTTCCACATCAAATTTCCAATATTATCAGAGTAGCACAGTATTAGAGAAGAAGGCAAGTGTGTGTGTTTCATGAATTTAAAGTGGCATTACAGATGGATTTCTGTGTGCAATGGCCCAATTCATTGAAATGTGTTGTTTATTTTCCTTACTGATTTTACTGATTAGTTGTTGTAAACATCCATGTCACCTCACATTCACCTTCATTTCTACAGCAGGTTGATGGGTCAGTGTTCATCACTGTAGCTTTAGTTTCTGTCTAATCGCCGAAATGCAGAAACATTACACTGTTGTTGGTCAAGTTATTATCTGATCACACCTCAGAAGGGCCTCATTATAAAAGACTCTTTGGTGCCAATTTCTTCATTTGCTCCAAATGTTATTTTTCCGAGTGCAAAGAGCGGAAGTGCTAAAACAAGAGCGAGAGTGATATCCTTATGTAAGACGCGCACCATCTGATCAGTTGAGCTGTGGACGCTCGTGTGTGTGTGTGTGTGTGTGTGTGTGAACGGATGGGTCTTATTAAGGGATGGTTCAGTACACCTGGCTAAATAATCTTTGCGTTTCTATCATGTCTTTATTTGGCAGCCGTGATGAAATGAGCTGTCTGCTTTGTTTACTCTGTGGTCATCATTAATTCATCTGCTCATCCTGTATCGATCTGCTCCCCCATTCGGCTAATTACGCCACTCGTTTTACCTTCACAGAACCCCTGCGTGTGTCAGGCCAATTAGACGGGCCAGATATCCACAGTAATTACAATTCTCTCTCTCTCTCGCCCCTCTTTCACTCAGATAGTGGCATGAGATGACTGCTCACCTCGCAGAACTGAAATCATGTCTTCCGTTACAACAAATGTTGACACAAACATGCTGAATATATGCCAGATCAATAGATGTGGTCAGATTGCCAGTGCTGCTTTCGAGCGAGAGTGATATCCTTATGTAAGACACGCACCATCTGATCAGTTGAGCTGTGGACGCTCGTGTGTGTGTGTGTGTGTGAACGGATGGGTCTTATTAAGGGATGGTTCAGTACACCTGGCTAAATAATCTTTGCGTTTCTATCATGTCTTTATTTGGCAGCCGTGATGAAATGAGCTGTCTGCTGTGTTTACTCTGTGGTCATCATTAATTCATCTGCTCATCCTGTATCGATCTGCTCCCCCATTCGGCTAATTACGCCACTCGTTTTACCTTCACAGAACCCCTGCGTGTGTCAGGCCAATTAGACGGGCCAGATATCCACAGTAATTACAATTCTCTCTCTCTCTCGCCCCTCTTTCACTCAGATAGTGGCATGAGATGACTGCTCACCTCGCAGAACTGAAATCATGTCTTCCGTTACAACAAATGTTGACACAAACATGCTGAATATATGCCAGATCAATAGATGTGGTCAGATTGCCAGTGCTGCTTTCTGAGCTTTGATGCTCTTGAGAGTTTATGTATGATCATTTTCTCAAATCTACAGTAGTAAAACATATCTCATTCATTTTGTTTGTGTATTTCTTCCCTCTTGCTTGAGCTGAATATTGAAGCCCAGTGGTCGAATTGTATAAAAAAAATTCAGGGGGCATTGTATGGTCAAGTATTTCTTTGGTGGGGCGGGGGGTCCTGTAGCTAACTTTATACAATGATTACAAAATTTGTCTTATTTTTAAACACATTGTTATTTAACAAAATATAAGCTTTCTTAAATGAACTATGATTGATAAGCTGTTTTTCTTCTGGGGCCTGAAATGGGATTTTTTTAAACGAGGAATTAAACTATATTTTGCTGAATGTGTTTTTGCTGGTATCGTGGCTGATTTAGGCCTGTCCTGGATAAATAAAAATGACACTGAAACCACCAGTAGGTGGCAGCAAGTCCCTGTTTTAATAAATGATTCACTGAATCATTCAGTCAAACGATTTGTTCTAAATGGCTGATTCAATTAGAAATGTAGCAAGTGACTGTCTTGATGAATGGATCATTGAATAATTGACTCAGGATTCATTCATAAACAGATTCATTCAGGAACGAGACCCTGCAGTGTTGCTCTGCACTGTTGTATAAAAATTAATAGCACATTTGTGATCATGCACATGTGCTGATATTCAGGAAAGCACTCTTGCTTGTGTGATAAATATAAAAAAATCATACAGGGATATTTTTTTTCTTTCATAACTTGAATTATAGGGACATTCTAACTGCGTTCTAATAGAAATCATCATGCAGTGAATGCTTTTCGACTCTCAAGACATGACTTTGTTTTTTCAGTGACATACTCGATAATATCATTTCTCAGTATAGTCTGTCCGCCCCTCATAGTCACACATACAGCACAATAATATTATGTCAGGGGAAGGTCTTTAAACTCTAATCAAGGAAATATCATACCTGCTGTTGTCATCTTTTTCTCCCCTCAGTTCGAGCCCTGTTGAAGCCTTTAACTCACTCTGACAGGTTGAAGTCAGCTTCTGATGAACTATTAAAATCCTTCTGAAATGTCAAGGTGATATGACTGTCTGGAGCAGACAGTGTCTCAAGAATGCCTTATTAATAACTTGATAAAGTCTGAATTGAAAAAAACAAAATCTTAAAAGAATAAACAACAGTGAAACAATTTTGTTTTAAAATAACCTGTATCATCAAAATCAACATGCAGGATTGAATGTTGAACATGACTGAAAACCCATATAACAGTAGATAATATCACAGAGAGGTGTCCTTTAGACCCTCATAGTCAGAATGCCTCTTGATCAGTAAAATATATTGAATAAATATATAACCTTATTTGACGTGACAAGATAAGTTCAAGTTGTCAAATTCAAAATGGCCAATGAACCCCAAAGAAATTCATTATTCAAACAGATATTAATATACTTTTGTCATAAAAAGTGTTTGAAAATGATTTACAATAATTCAGATATGGAAACACATTTTAAAGCTCTATTAAAAATGTTGACAGTTACACCACTTGATGTTTTAAAGTCATTAAAAAAACTTGTTGAAAAGGGACATAAATGTTCTTCAAAAATGTTTCAATACAAAAGTAATTATTATTTCTATAGCCTTTTTCACATACAAATTTGGCTATACAGTCAAAACAAATCAACATTAACTATCTACGTTAATATATTGGTCGGACTGTGAGAATTAAGTGTCTTTGAGTTCATACTGGGTTTACAGATGAGACAGACATTAGTTTAGCAACAGTCTGGGAGTGGCAGCGGTTTGTCCTTTGTGAGGTTCTGTGTGATTGAGTTAAGATGGTCACTTGGCAAAGGTTGCAATATCTAAGAACTTGGCGCATACATTTTAAATATTTTTTTTCTTTTCGTCTTAGGTATAGATTTGTCCGACTTAAATATGTTATTAGTAATCTTTGCTAAATTAAATGAACATCTGGTTGATGATAATCTACTTAATCTTACTTTTTCATTCTGACAATGGTACAGAAACAGCACTTGAGATGTGAACGATAAACACAATACTTAAGAGATTTGTCTTGCTTGATATCAGTGCGGCCTTTGATAGAATGCATGAGATTATTCTCATTCATGGACTTGAACAATCATGAATTGATTGTTCATAATGTACTTTTTTGTGGAGTCCCAGGTGGCTCTGTATTAGGACCTCTGTTGTTTATATTGTATACAGTATGTGACCTTTAGGTAATGTAATCAAGAAGCATGGGATAAACTTTCAGAGCCATGCAGATGATACACAGCTGCTTATTTTCAAACCTTCTGAAATGCAGAATTCTGCAAATGGCCTGACATGTTACTTGTTATATACTTCAGAATGGATGTACCAAATTTCCTGTCACTATCAATTCTATTGATAGTGGGTGCAAACATCAGTGTTTTTACTTAATATTTTAAGCATAATGTTTTAGCTTTTCAGTAACTAAAAGTTTTTGTATGTCATCTTTTGTGAATATATTATTCAGAATGCAGAGGGCTACAACATGAGCATCCCAATGCCAGGCCACCCAGTGAACTTCTCTGAGCTGACAATGGCTCAAGCTCGGCAGGATGTGGAACAGCTGGAGAAGCTTATCTCTGAACACGATGTGGTCTTCCTGTTGATGGACACTCGTGAGAGCCGCTGGCTTCCGACCGTCATCGCTGCTAGCCAGAGAAAGGTAGCTTCCTCCCTCCAATCTTTCATTATTTATTTATTTATTTATTTTCTGCTCACGTGGCTGCCTGCCTTTTTATTGTAGGTTATTGTCACAGTTGTTGGTAAGTGCTACACAGAGTTTGTCCTGTATCTGATTTAAGAACCTTTAACTACAAATAACCCCTACCTGACATAACAGGGTGCTTCTATATTTGCAGCACTTTACTCTAAAATGGGCATACTGCACATATGTATGTTTATTATAACTGATTACAGTAGCAATATTATTATTATTATTATTATAAAAATTGTTTTAATAACATTATTATTAGTTTATAATTACTATTAAAATTATTTAATGTACATTATAATTATAATAATAGTTTTCTGTTAGTAATAGTAATAGTACAGCTGCTAGGCCCAAAAGGCTGAGAGCAAATCCAACCTAAAATCAAATTCGAAACTGGAAATGAAGTTTTAAAATTGTTTTGCTTCTTTGCGTAAAATCTTTTGGTTTACTTGATATGTAGACTGTGAACCTTTTTAGAGAGAGTTCAATATGTCGGTCTCTCTGCAGTTGATAGTTAATGCTGCTCTGGGATTCGACACGTTTGTGGTAATGAGACACGGCCTTAAGAAACCCAAAGAGTCACAGTCTGAAGAGTCCAGCCCCATGTCTGCTTCCTCCAACTCCTCATGTTCCTCCACACCAGCAACCACCATCACACCAGGTACAGCTCAAACATATCCATGTGTTTTTCACAGCTTTTGTTGCTGTTTAGATTAAGTATGTTGTAAAAGCGGAATGTAAACACAAAGCAGAGCTTTACGGTAAACCTCAAATGCAAAATGTCAAGTCATCAGTCATCACAGTTAAAGGAATATTTTACCCAATAATGAACATTTGCTGAAAATGTGCTCACCCTCCGGCCATCCCAGATTAGGATGAGTCTGTTTCTTCATCAGGTTTGTAGAAATGTAGCACTGCATCAGTGTCTCAGCAATGGATGCTCTGCAGTGAATGGGTGCCGTCAGAATGAGAGTCCAAACAGCTGATAAAAACATCACAATAATCCACAAGTTATCCACAGCACTACAGTCCATCAGTTAACATCTGGAGAAGACAAAGGCTGAAACAAATCCAGCATTAACACGTTTTTAACATCAAACTGTTGTTTCTAATAGAGGTCGACTGATGTATCTGTTTTGCCGATTAATCGGCACCGATAGTTGATTGCTGGAAGTATCGTCTATCTGTAAAAATCCATGCCGATAGTTTTTCCGAGTTGCGTCTGTTGCTGGAGCGGCTGAAGCTCCGCTGTCATTATACAGAGCGAGAGCGGCCTCTAGAGGCGGAAATCACTGACAGCACGTGCTGTTTGTTTTGACACGTGACACTGAGAGCGCACACTTCAGACGCGCGGATTTAAAACATCGACAACTAAACGGTGTGTACACATTATACTGTAGTGCAGTGTTACTCATTGCGTGGCTCGCGAGCCTCATGCGGCTCGCCAAGCTTTACTTTGTGGCTCGCATGGCAGTAAATAATACGATGATATGATCATGCAGTCAATACAAATATTTCATAAAAACAAGCGGGCTATAACATAACCCATTAAAAAAACTCACACCATGTCTACACCGCACGCGAGTGGCGCGATCCGACAAAAGACAATAGAACCCAGTGATGTTGTCTACACTGGATGCGGCGCAATGTGACGCGACACGATACCCATCAGTAAACTGATGCCTTGCTCTATTTATGATGAACTGTACTGACACTACATTGAGATGATTTGCAACTGTAGTGTCAACAAGTGTAGACAGACTTTTAGCGCAGCGGGGCGCGGCACGACAACTGTGCGTCCGGTGTAGACACGGTCAGGCAGTGTCTGCTCAATTACAAATAATTTATATAAAAAAAAAAAATACCTAAAACAGCGGCATTACAAGATGGAAATATAGACTAGAAAACATTAAAAACAAGCAGGGCTATAACATAACCCATTAAAAAAACTCACACCATGTCTACACCGAACGCGAGTGGCGCGATCCGACAAAAGACAATAGAACCCAGTGATGTTGTCTACACTGGATGCGGCGCGGCGCCACGCGATGCGACACGATCCCCATCAGTAAACTGATGCCTCGTTCTATTTATGACGAACTGTACCGACACTACGTTCAAATGATTTGCAACTGTCGCTTTGTCGCGTCAAGTGTAGACAGACTTTTAGCGCAGCAGGGCGCGGCACGACAACTGTCGCATCCGGTGTAGACACGGTCAGACAGTGTCTGCTCTATTACAAATAATTTATATATTTTTTTAAAAATACCTAAAACACCGGCATTTAAGAGATGGAAATATAGACTAGAAAATATATTTACACTTGCTCTGTCCTACGTCCATGACACTGACTCACTGCGGAGTTGCCAGTTTTAATCTTAACAGCTCTTAACGCCGAATGTGCACTTGGATGGTTAGATACATGATGGGCTAGTATAAAAAATAAAATAACTTAAGGTCTTTCCAGCATTAAGGTAATCCTGCTTTTTTAAAAATAATCTTGTCTCAGTTACAAATTTGACTGGTAAATGATAAAGAATGATAGCCCCTTTTGTATTGCATTGCATTGCATTGCATATGACAGATTGATAAAAAGACATGCTATTTATGACTGGATGTCATATCAGTGCGGCTCCCATGAAAAAAATAGTGAAGACCACTGCTGTAGTGCATGCTTTCATTTCATTACTAAGTAATTATTTTGTTGACTAGATGCTGCATTAGTGGAGAAAGAACAGCAGTATGTTTGCTGTCAAGGCTGAGAGGACGCACACATTAGCAGCACCTCAAGCCATTAAATCAATGTGACCAAAACACACACAAGTCTGACCCAAATGTTTAATGTTACGATTGCTACCGTCTATTTGCATTAGTTTATATCCAGCTATATCCACTTTAATGCGTTTGTTATCCATTGAAGTTGCAGATTTAAAGCTGTGACGTGAGAAAGCATGCTGATATGTTGATTTAGTGACAGAAATCCTGCCGCGCCGCAGAGCGCATTCACACAGTTTTCCGTTAAATTACATTATATTTGTCCCAAATCATTGTTAATGTACATAATGACTTCATATATTTTTACATTTTGAAGTTGCTTCTGTTAACATTAGTTAATGAACTATAACTTTAATGATCAATATATAATTTGCACATTTTATGTACAAAGTATGGTTCAGTACTGTTTCAGTATTTTTTGTTTTTAAATAGTAAAGCACTATTTTAGTTTTCGTTCAGCATCCATTTTAAAAACTATCGGTTGATTAATCGGTATCGGCCAGTGTGGTCCCACCTAGCTATCGGTATCGGTAAAATCCACTATCGGTCGACCTCTAGTTTCTAATAGCTCTTACATATTTGTTATCCAGCCACATATTTGTTTAGAGCTGTTTTGGACTGTTTTGGCTCGTAAACGGTGCTTGATCTGTGCAGATTTCTCTCCTGATTCAGACCAGATGGCTTTTTTTACTGGAGGAAGCATTATTATGGATTATGAGCTCGAAAGCAACGGTTTGTAGTTAAAAACGTCTTAATGATGGATTTGTTTCAGCTTTTGGCTTCACAAGACGTTAATTGATGAACTGGAGTGGTGTGGATTACTTGTGATGTTTTTATCAGCTGTTTTGTTTGAATTACAAAATTGTGATCACCATGCCTGTCATATCTAACATTCATATCTGAATTTTCCATCCACCTTATTCCTGACGAGCCTGCTGCGTTTTGAATTATGGGTGGCACTTCCGGTTTAGGGAACTTCCATTCAAAAAGGTTGCCCTATAAATAAAGCTTATCCGTCTCTTTGACTGAATGAGCTGTCGATTTGCCTTCATGTTTTATTTTCAGACATCATGAGAATAACATAACGCTTGGTATTTTAACGTGACATGTTATAACAAGAATATCTATGGCAAGAGCTCTTTTCAGTCGCTGCATTTTTTTCCTCATGATTATTTTCTTTATTCCCTTTGCATTCCGCTGTAATAGTATGAAAAAGGACAACATTCTGTTCTCTCGGTTTAATTTACGATGTATCCCATTAATAATTCTCTGGAATGCACGAAAAATCTCCAATTTTTCTCCTCCTCACGTCTCTTTCCAGGTTTGTTTGTTTTCACAGGTAAATACAATTTATCATCTGTCGAAATGACGGAAATCACTTTGAAATATTATCACGCAATGCTTAACGCAAGTTAATGAAAATTTTTGATTAAGGCAACGTATATATTAGAGTGATATTTCACCCGTCCGTTATTGCTGTGGAAAGAGTAGTGCTTTTGGGGTTATTCATAGTCTGTTGAAAGTACCTTGTTTATGCTTTTACACTTTTAAATGTCATTTTAATGTTCGATGGTTGAAGGGCGAGTAGAATAATGCCATCTCATTCTACCCA